TATCCTAAAGAGATACAGTTTGAATAGTTGTATTCCAATTGCAATGCTCCTTCTATTGGCTTGTCTGTGCCACTTGTATGACATATATTGTGTCACTCCTTTCACCATTTGTATTGTTACAAGTGTTTTGAATCTTATGCAAATAGGACTTTGAAAAGTATTAAACTGATATCAAACTGTTATTAACATAGTACCAATCTATAGTAAATTTGATATATAAGTTGTGATCCACTTATATGAATTTATAGTAAAGTTAAGTATTGAAATTATATCAAAGTGGTATTATTAGAAACCCTATATGCAAATTTATACAAGTTTATTTCACATTCCAATTTTTAAGACTATAGTCAAGGTTAATATGCCAAGGCTCTATTAATATTGTTATTATATGAATAGTAAAAATTGAAATTGATTATATTATTTTCTTGATTTAGCTAGTTATTTATGAGTTTTTGCTACAACCTTCTTGCTTCCTTTGTTTTCTTTAATAAAGATTTATATTGTGCTGTATCTTTGAATTAAGCATTGACTTGTCCTTTTTTTATTTCCCTTTTTTTCTTTCTACTTATGTTTTCTTTTTTTTTTATTGTTGGAATCTTGTATATCTATAATTCCGAAGTTTTTGAAGCTCCTTTGTCATTTGATTTGTAACTGTCCTTAGTATATCTTTAATTAATTTTATATTATATTATTTTTAAAAAGTCACAAGTTCCTTGTTCTCATTAATACTCGTGAAAAATTTTGTTTTGACATAATCAAACGAATAACGATAAAAGTTCAAAGTGTTTAATAACGTTCCTTACAATAGGCAGTATAATATGAAATAGATCAGTTGTATCAGCTATGTACATCACGTATTGTATTAAAAATTTTTGATATGATGAATTTAACATCATCATTAAATAAACTTTTCACATCAGATAAAAATAACCACAATTTCTTAGCTCCAGAGGATTCCGCCGGTGGTTCCATTATTTTCCGCGGGAACCAAGTCTAGGATTTTTGCAACTATATTATACACCTCGGTATTAATAAAGCCTTTGACCGCATTGTCCTTCATTTCCCTCGTTATATTTTTAAACGCAGGTCCAGAAGCAAAAAATATTCCTCTCATCTCTGGTTCGAGATTATCATACCCGTGTGTTCCTCTTGGTATTTTATGATGGTCGAAATCCCTATTCGTTGTCAATACCCAACCTACAGGTGGGATACAAAAGATTGGGGCTATACGTAATGAAGCACGGAAATGAAATCTTTCGGGTATCTCTTCACGCGCAAAACATTCCCAAGGTTGATTATAGCTAGCATCTTTCAAGCCTAAATATATGTCTAAAACATCCGAGTCATTATATGGTCGAACTCCAGCTAAAGGAAATCCTTCTATCGGACGGATTTTTGAAACATCAAAAGAATTATCTAGTTTCACTATGTTACTCGGTATCGTCTGTGCCATACCATGATCACTGACCTACAATTAAGAAGTATAAATGAAGAAACAATTACAGTATATGAACACTTTTAAGCGTTAAGCTAAAAATACCAACAATTATAACATTAACAATGTCTGTGAGATTGCGCTGTGCCAAGCCTTCCAACAGACCGTGTGTCATGTTATCGACGTAAGTCAATGCATTATTTAAATTCACGGAATATGGCCCTGATCTGTGTCCTTCGAGGTCAACATTCCTCGCATAAGTGGCGATGAATGTTGGCCTTTCATCCAGTGGAAGATCTAACCAACTCATCACTTGTGATACTTTGTCCTTTATTGTCAAACTAGAATTATATGGGAAGTGATAAGTTGGTCGATATCCTTTAATAACTGAAGATGATCCGACCCATTGCGACACCCCAGATTTTTGACCTTGCTTGACAGCGGTAACCCATAACTAAACAGAATCATAGTATGAGAATTGACCTGTCAAAAACATGAATAAAATAAATAAATCTATACTGACTGGTTCACCTCCCCACCATTTAGAATCAATGCTTTGATGAGGGCTAGTGTAAATAAAATTGTCTTCTAAAATCGGGTCATAAAATTCATTCCCAACAATACCATGTGATTCAGGATAGAGTCCCGTGACGATTGTGTAATGATTGGGAAACGTGACAGACTACAGTATTGTAAAATCAATCAGTAAATAATATCTAGATTTCGTCCTCATCAGACATTATTGAAAGGAAAAAAATTCTAACCGGAAATGAAGGCATCATAAATTCAGCCTTGATACCTTTCCGAACTACATGATAAAATAGGAATAAGCTCCCTATATGCGTTAATGAAATGAAAACTTTTGCACTCACTAAATTCTGCTATGTGTGGAGTAATCATTCTTTCCAAGTAATCTTCTCTGAACCCATCGTATGATACCAAAAGTACGGTAGAATGAAAGTCATGAGACCCATTGAAATATTTTGGTGCACTCCTCTCGAGATTTTTTGAAGGAAATGCAAGTATTAATATTGTACCCACAAGTATTAGGGGCAAGGTAATTTTCATGAAAGTTCTAAGGATGAAGTTAAGACGGTCCTACAAGTAGAAGAATGGTATCGATAAAATAGAACATCACATTTTCATAAGAAGCGCACAAATATTACTTTATGTCTTCCATCCGCAGGATCACCGCTTAGCAAACCTTCTCTTTCTCGAATATCATCAAGTTCTTCTCTCATTGTACACTGGTAATAGCCATTACATTTACAATTTGATCAATACACTTCACGTGATGTATTCCTACGATACATGATAAAATACTCACGAATAAATATCAAACTTAACGCATACAGTATACGAATCATCTATCGACCAACTAGTCCAGATGCATTGAGGCATACAGTGTATGCTATATATTGTATATTTGAGCGAGGCACATCAATGCATTGACACAATATGCATGGTATGCAAAAATTTAAATGGAAATTTATAATACTTGCGATAACATATCACGTGACATTTCGGTCACGGTTTGCTATACTGTAAACCTCATTCTATAATATTATCATAAAAAAATTATTGAAAAAATTCATTAATATTTCAAACAAAATTCTAAAACAATTTAATAAAAAAGAATAATGATAATTTTAAAAAAATTTGTATAAAAATTAACAAGTTATTAAAATATATAATTTTTTATATCCTTTAATGCTCCCAAGACTTTTTACAGTATTTGATGATAAATATTTTGCATTTGATAAATGTAATTACAAAAGAGGTTCTTAAATGATGATTCTTTCATCATGGAAATTTATCGAGTTTTAAAATAAAAATTTAATAGACAAAAAACATACAGTATATACGCAATGTATTTAATATATCAAGCATTAAAAATAATTTTATTAAATAATGCTTTATTTAGAACAGTGCTTAAAAAATATGCTTGCTTTATTGATATTAATCGATAAGTCAATTAAAGTTAATTAAGTCAATATCGTCGGTAATAATGCATCCTACTATCACTACTGCCTGACTTACAGTATATTAGAATAAAAATTATAATTGGTACACATGGATTATGTATTAATGGATTCTCATTAAAAAAAAAACTCATGATCTATATTCTCGTATACGTAAAGCTCATCCAACCATGGTATCCAGTACCATTTTTGAATACCATACGAATTATTAACGAATGGACCTATTCAGACAGCCATGTTAATTTTTAAAAAATTAATTGTAATTCCCCCTTTTTTTTTTACCAAATAATACGTAAATACATACTGTGCCTATTCTTCAATCAATAATCTTTGCCTTCTTTTTTCGAGGCTTAGTCCTGCTTGTTGGGTGGCTGTTGGCAACGTCAGGCATCAAATGGTGTCGGTATGCTTCGATGACCTAAAAATTTTCAAATACGAAAGAAATTAATACACTTCAAAATATGCGTGACTGAACAGAAAAAATGGTGTGAATCAGCTACCAAGTCTTTCATTCCTTCAGCTTCCATGATTGTTGAGTTTTTTTCAACTTTATCAACAATGAATCGTTTTTGCATCAACGGAAACCTAACACACTTTAACAGAGATGGAAGGATAGAAAATCTATCTCCACGCCAAGGTTTTGGAAACTTGTCAGGATCGTCAGTCTCTTCTTCAAGCAATTCATAACTTTGATCAATAGAAACGGTAGCATCTTCTTTTTCACTTTGGGTCACTACATTAGGATCTTCAGAATTTCCTGAAAGCTCTGAAGGCATAGAAACTGATGGTGAGGTGGGTGACGAAGTTGATAAGGCATCAACATGCGTGCTATTATCATTGGATGAATCGCTAGAGTAAAAATAATTCACCCATCTAACCACAAGTTCATAAATTTGCTCCTCTGACTTAACGTTAGCTTCGTCATTCTCAAGTGCAAGACGGAGAATATTCGGGTCAGCATCTAACGTAGATTGTTTATCTAAGAGGGCCTCAAGATAACGGGCTACAAAATCCCGACAAGTGGTTGATGTCTTTGCGCACGAATATTTTTCTTATTTAAGGGACGCAAAAAAATTTTTTTGTTAATACAAATAGTTTATCGAAAAAAAGAAAAACAATAGCTACCCACCGGCGATTGCCCAGATACCCCATACATTATTTACATTTACTTCCAATCGAAAATATCGTAAGCATTCTTCTCGCACATGAACAATAGCAAACCTGTCGGCCAATGACAATAAATTTTCGGCCTCGCATAGAGACCCAATATTAACGTTAAAGGTATAAATATAGGTAAGCAGAGCAAGAAAAGCGCCATGATTTGCTTGATGCAGTCGAATTTCATCCTGATGAGTTTCCTTCATCCCATTCGTCAACATCGCTTCAAATACTGGTGATGAAGATGCAAGAATTCCCTTGTGGGCATAAAATAATTTATCTCGACCAACATCATCAAAGACGCGAAAAGTGATATCAGAAAATCTCGGGGAATTAACCAGCTTATTAAAAGGATTATCATTGATCTTTGGCGATGCATCTATAATAGATTCTTGAATTTCGAATTTGACACACAAAGAGACCGTATCGTTGCAAATGAATCTGTCATTTTCAAATTATTTTATTAGAAAACAAATTTTTTAAAAAAAACCTTAAGATTTAAATTTTAAAATACCTATCCATCTCATCCAATGACATAAGGTTTTCCTCACCCCAAGTAGAATGTTCTGGTGATGTCATAAATTAAAAATGGTTAAATTTACGAATCGGAATATATACTATATGTTAGGCAACAATTCTCGCAAATGCTTACTGTCACAAAACCAAACAGGAAATTCCACTAAAGGACGCCGAAAAGATGAGGAAATTAAAAAATTGTAGTAACTTAGGCATTGAAATAGTGTGGTAAGACTTAACCTTACTTTTTCCAAAGTCCATTCCTCGAGTCCTCAAGTTTTCCAAAACGAAAATAATACTGACTTTCTTACGAATTCCATGAAGACATCCTGGAGTTGTCTCTAAAATACCTAAATATAATGAAAGGGCCTTAAATTAAAAAAAAAAAAAAAAAAAAGGAAAAAAAATACGTGGTGCCAATATGAGAAGCCTGGTCGCAACATAGCTAATTGCCGAATCAACAAGATGCAAGTGATTAGTACCTGTGGATTCTTCTGCCTTCCCTTATAGAACTATGGGCGAAATAATTTAATTAGAATAGAAAATAACCTCAACAAATTAAAATAATAATAATAATAAATAAATAAATACCTTAAAGACCCTTTATAAAAACATTGTGGGAATAAGAACAGGTGAAATTTTAAATTGTAAGTAATTTCTCGAATGCTCTTCTTTGCATGACCGAAAACAATGTTATTTCTGCATACCATTGCAATCCGTCAGCACTAAATGGAGAGCTCGTGTGTTCTGTAAAGGGTTTCACATCGCACCAATTTGTGATCTTCCATCTATAACAATATGTTAGAATCCCGCCTGAACTATTCGGAAGGGCGACTTGAGACATTTTTATTTAACCAGCCTTGTGTGTTAATATGCGTATTCTTTCTCGTAAAATTTATTTCTGTGTCTAATTAGGAATTAAAATTATTCGTTTAAAGGGTATGGTTAATTCGACTGTTACTTAAATAACTAATTCTGCGAGAAATAAAGTTTTTGCCGACCTGGTGCATGATACAGATCGATATAAATACAGATGATAATCTCACTCAGGTCAATGCATTAACCCTAATATATTGAACAATGAAAAGCGAAAATTCTTTCATTACCTCCACATTCCAACAATCGAGTGAAAAATGCAGAGAGCGCTCGGATAAACGAAATGCAGGTATATAAAAATTTTTTAGCGTTCTTAAAATTATCCTCATCAGATTAGATCCGGTTTTTTTTTACTATTTATAATCTTTTAGAAATCATTTTTCAAGCCATTTTACTATTTTTAATGCCAATCTATCATTTTTTTTTTTCCCAAATATTTTGATATTGTAACTTGCGAAATTATGATACTGTATTTAGTTTTTAATAAAGTATTTTTATATTTTTAATATATTTAATTATACAAATTTATATCAAATAAATGAATTTATATATCAAATTAGATTCATATTTTGGAGATAAAAATTTTATTAGTAGTTTTGATTAAAAAAAAAAAAAAAAAAAATTTTATTAGTAGTTTTAAATTACTGTATTTTAAATTATATTACAAGAAAAAAAAGCTAATATGAAAAATAATTTTTATATATTAGAATTCTTCAATTCAATTTTAAATTAAAAGATTTTATTAATGATAAATCAAAAACTTTTCTTTATATGATTTTTTTTATTGTGATAATTTTATAATTATTAAAAAGTTAAAAAGATTTATATAATTAACTTAATTTAAATAATTATGTAATTTGAATATAACATATAATCTATTAAAATTAATTAATTAATATATAATAATTTATAATTTTATTTTAAATAATTTATTTAATAAAATTTAATATTTTTTTATTATATTAATTATCATTGTCGTTTGTTCTTTAATTAAATAATGATTTAATAAAGATTTTAAAATAATTTTTTAAATAATTATATTGCTTTTCGATTTGTAATTCATGCAAATTTGTTTAAAATTTAAACCAAAAAAAACACATTTATAATTTTTACAAATAAAGAAATAGTATACAATATACTTTAAAATATTAAACTTGTTAATTTAATTATAATAATAAATAAAATAAAATAAACTTTATTAATTAAGAAATTTGATATTCTATTTGATATTTTTTTTAAAAAAAAACCCCCAAATTTTATAATATTGTATAGTATATACATGTCATACAGTATAATAATAAAATTATAGAATTTTTTTTAAAAATATATATATATGTATTTATAATAAATAAATAATCTACACTATAGGTTTAAATATTTTTTAATTTGTGTACATAAAAAATTTAAACATTTTGAAATTTATTTATAGCTATTGTAATTATCGGTACTACCTAATATAGTTTAAATTCAAATTATTATTTTATTACGCTGTAATAAATAAAACTATTTAGATTCATGATTTGGTCGCGTGTGAACTTGGCAAATCACATTGAATGATCATATAAAAGATAACCTTAAACTTCAAATAGAATTTTCATGTCCCACGAACGTCTGCTCTGTCGTCGAAGGAATCAAAGAATTCCCGTGGACGACAAAAGTATCACCGCCATCGCTTTCGCTAAAAGTCTTCAAACCACTCCTTAACCGATTAGCCGCTTGTACCGCCTCAACCGCCCGCCGGAAGGTTTTTTTTGCGTTGAAATTGGATATGAAGTCATCGAACAAATCAACATCCATTACATTATCGCTTGACAACCATTTG